TTCAGGCAGGATCGGGGGTGGAGGCGCTCGCCGGCAATCTGGGCGCACTGGCTGATGCGTGGTTGGCGCTCACCATGATTCCCGCGGTTTACGGGATCGACGCCCAGATTTTTTGGGCGGAAGTCTCCCGCCGCGAGGTGGACAGTCAGGCCGTGAATTATAACGTGTTGGCCCAGACGGCCCTCGCCTCCAAGTTCGGAGAGGAGTATTACGAAAAACTCAATCTCCCCACTGGCCGTAAGGACTGACCATGGCGCGGCGGAATAACAGGCTCGCGGTAGTTCAGACATTGGCTGCGCATGTGCATGGCTGTCTGGATAGATCCCGCGACGCGTGGCAGCCTGAGTTCCGCCGCATGGTGGACTGCATCCGGACGGTCCGAGGGTTCCCCCTCGATCTGCCGGCCGACGACGACCCGGATGCGGACGCCGCGAGCCGGATAACTTTTCCGGTTATCCCGGCTGTTGTGAAAGCGGTGACAGCGAATGTCCTGGACGTATTCGGTTCGTCGATCGACGCCCCGATAACCTGCGTGCCAACATCCTCCCCGGAACTACCGCAGGATGTGCAACAGTGGCTCATGCAGCTTCTGATGAACAATCTTCAGACGTTGATGCAGATGACCGGTGGCGACCCGTCATTGGTTCAGCAGGCTATCGACGGGATGCAGGAGGCCGCGAAGGAACAGATTTCCGAACGTGCTACGGACGCGGCCCAGAATCTGCAGGATGAAATAAAGGAGCGTCTGTTTACCGCCGGTTGGACACGGGAGTTCCGGGACTTCATCACAAACATGGTCATTTACCCGACGGCCGTGCTAAAAGGTCCCTTCCTCGCGCCCCGGAAAACTCGAAACTGGGATGCAGTCACCAATTCTCTTGTATTCGACGACGATAGTGTCTGGGCGGTAGAAAATGTAAACCCGTTTCGATTTTACCCCGCGCCATATGCGCGCGATTGCCAGTCGTGCGAATACGTCATCGAGGTGCGCCGGACGACGGCGGTCGATTTTGCCCTGCTGGCTATGGTGGATGGTTACGATCAAGATGGCGTCCGCGCGTGTCAGGAGGCCAACCCGGACGGCTATACAGTGCCATACTGGACCGGCATGGATCTGGACCCGGATCGGGACCTGCTGACGCTCATGGGGCAGACCACGATGGACGGCACCGGGGCGTATGACGTCATCTGTTTCTACGGGCGTATTCCGGGGTATATGCTGAACGCCGCGGGCGGCTATCAGCTAAACGACTGGCAATGGTACGAAGCCGAGATCGAGGTTTGTGGGGATGAAGTTATCCGTGCGGCGCTCAATGCGCAGCCGAGCGGACGCCGCCCCTACCAGACCAGCAGCTTCGAACCGATAGCCGGAAGTATCTTCGGGGAGAGTGTCCCGACGCGGTTGTTTGATGTTCAGCGCACCTGCGAAGCGACGGTGCGGGAGATGCTGCGCAACATGGCGTATGCGTCCGGGCCGATTGGCGAAGTAGACATTACCCGCCTCGCTCCGGATGAATCTGCGGATTTCATTGAGCCCCATGTTCTGAAGCGCGTAAAGCCCGGACTGGCCGGGCAGAACGGCACCGCGTTCGTTTTCCACGATATCGAAAGCCATCTGCAGGAGATGCAGACGGCGCTCGAATATTTCAAGGAACAGGGGTTCGAAGTTATCGGCTTCTCCCTTATGTCGCTCGGCGGACTGCCGCAGAACGGCGTCGGTCGCACTTCTGGCGGTATGAGTATGGTTCTGAACCAATCCTCAAAACCCCTGAAGCAGATTATCTCCAACCTCGGACAAGAGATTATCGTGCCCGTTGGACAGGGTTTTGTGGATATTGTCCTTATGTCCGCGCCTGATCCCACCATCCGGGGTGATATCCGCGTGCATCCGAAGGGCGTCGAAGGGCTGGTCGATAACCAGCAGCTATCGAGTGATATTCTGATGGCGATGCAGACGTTGGCGCCGGTGGCGCAGGCGCTTCGTGAGGGTAGCCCGGTCGCGCAGGAAATGTTGAGCCTGTTCTATTACTGGGCGAAGCTGAACAATATCCCGACGAACGGGATGCAGAATTTGGCTTTGTCCAACGCGTTCGCTCAGTCTACCGGGTCCGCATATCAGGCGGGGGGACTGGGAGGGCCGGCCGGGGCAGGGCAGCCGAACCCGGCCGCGCCGCCGCCTGCGCAGCTTGACGGTCGCTCCGCTCCGGCAGTCGGTGCTATACAGCAGGCGAACAACCTTCCGCAGACGATGGGACGCAGTTAATGATGACCCCCGATGAATTTAACGCGTTGGAGCCGAACTATCTCTACCCCACGGAGGGGAGTGGGTCGGTCCCGGATATGGACGCGTCCCTGAAGCCGGCCGCCTGCCTTAATTATACGTGGATGCTGGATCTGGTGCCCGAGGAGGTTTCCCCCTCGTTCTCGTGTGCGCAACCGGATGGAACCACTATCACCATCCCTGCGATCATTGAGACTTTCGCTGTCCCGGAAACAAAAGACGTTCTGTGCTTTACAGTTCCTCCGGGCACGTTTCGGGTGGTTCATACGGACTGGGAACTATCAGACTGCAACCGTCCCCGCATTTATATAAAGCGGGTCGCTGTCTGCGCGACCAACTGTTGTGAGGAATCAACCTTCACGTATTGCTGGCCGCTGGGCTGCCCATTCACTATCCTGCCCCCCGGGCGATACCAAATAGGCTTGGATATTGGTAAGGTAGTGGTCGATGAGGGTCTGGTCGGCACTTCTGTGGGCGTGACTGTTAAACTTGAATACGTGGGCCGGGACTTCATCCTGGCTTCGCAGTTCATAACTAAAGGGTGCTGCCAATGAGCGCGTCGACCGTAAATAACTGCTGCCCTGATCCGGACATGATTAAAGGGTGGGTTCAGGCGTATCTCTGGGCCGAGATGAACGCGGGTAACCTTCAGGCTCCCCTACTGGGCTGCGATGGATCGCGTCTCGGTGCGGCGAAAGTGCCCACATGTTCCGACATGACGCAGGCTATTGCGCAGTCCAAGGTCGTTATTCACGATTCGACGCTGACCGGCTCCGGCACCTGCGACAGCCCTCTCAGCGTCAATGAATCGTGGCTGAAGGCGTTCATTGATAACGAAATGGACACGCACGGCATTACGGTCGCGCCTAATTCTGGTATCGGCGGCAACGGGACGACCGATACGCCCCTCGCGCTCAATATTGTCCATGACACGTCGCTGGATGGCGCCGGAACCGAGGCCAGCCCGCTGACCGTCGACGCGTCGTGGCTGCTGAAGCAGATCCAGAACGGTATCCACATGGGCGGTGGCTTCTCCGGCACCGGGACCGCGACTGACCCTTATGTGTTGGATGTCCAGCACGATGAATCTCTGGATGGGACGGGAACTACCACAGACCCGCTTAAAGTCGATCCGGACTGGCTTAAAAACGAACTCGCGGGGGATGCGGTGCTGGCTCCCGACACAACGGATACGGTAGCGACTACAGAAAACGGGACCATCTCGACTACCATCATCGGTGGCACGAACTCTACGATGGGTGGCCCAAGTGTGTGGTTCAAGCTGGGGGGCTATATGGTGCCCGGCTACACGCCAACTCCGGTTGCGGGCTAATGGGTTGCAACTGCGGAAGTCGTGCCGCGGGGATCTTCAGATCCTCGCATCTGGCCGCCACGAGCCAGCAGCCCACGACAAATAGCCCGGAGCCGAAGGTAATTTCCCCTCGGCCTCCCCTCCTCGCTCGTATTACCCGGGCAGGTTCCAGTACGGATAAAACAACCGATGGCTAAAGCGTTCCACCGCGTCCGCCCGTCTCCCGCAACAGTCACGCGAACCGGCCCCAAGCCTCGGGAGATACCGGTTGAGGTGGTGCGGGAACGCCATTTTATTACAGAACTTCACGGGGAAGACGGGGAAGATGGGGAAGATGGCAAGCACGCCTTCCCCACGCATACCCTTGTTTACTCGGTGTCGTATCTGCGGGACGCTGATCGTAAGTATCGACACTACCGCGGACTGCGGTTGCTTTCGGGCGATGCTGAAGCGGCGGGGATGCCGGCTACCGCCAGCGGTATAACCGCGGTGCCGCTGCCAGCGAAGCAGATGCGCCTCACCCTCGCGCCGGACGTGGAAACCTTTGCCCCCTGCGGTATTCGAATATACAACCATGGCGGGTCAGAACCGCTACCTGATATAAGAGGTAGTTTTATACCGGCGCGGATTGTGTTACCTCCGTTCGTGGCGGGGGTCCCAGAGTTTGATTTACGGCTCTATGTGGAGTTTATCCTGTGACCGATCGCACCCTGTCATCGTTTCGCCGGTCTGCTTATGCGGCACCCCTGCGTCAGCTTCTGACAGAGCGCCTTGCGCTCGCGCGTGAGGAACACGAAACAACCCCGATCTCTGCTGAACGAACGGCGCGTGTCCTGGCGTGCCGTGAGATAATGACCATCCTGTTTGGGGAAGATTGATGGTGGAATTAGTCACCCGAAAATTCCAGATCCATGACGGCACCGGTAAGGTGGCTATCGCGGTCCGTTTTTTCGATGAAGACGTCCTCGCGGTCATGTATTCGCCACTGATCGGGGCCAATATCCCGGATGGAGATTTCGTGGAGTTCCACGAAAACGGTAATCCGGTGGTCCTGAGTAAAGCGACCAGCCCCCTCGTTCTCACCATCCCCGGAACGTATTTCTTCGATGTAGACGGGGACGTTGGTCCGGACGCAGAAGTCCACGTAAGTGACAGCCCGTTTAAAGTCGTCCTGACCCGGGCTATTTCTTCGGGAGGGGCAACCACATGAACGAGGCCGACCGACAGCGTATGATCGCGGTCATTCGAACGTCAAACGCCCACGCGGCCGTCATAAAATACATGCGGCAGACTTTGGCGGATGAGCGCGAACAGCTTGAAGCCTTTGATACGTCCGAGTATCGTCGGGGCCGCGTGCGCATGATGCGCGACCTACTCGAACAGTTTAACCCCGGAAAGAATTAAGCGATGAGCGGATACACACAGCAGCAGCCACAGGCTCCTCAGCAGTTCCAGCCCCAGCAGCCGGGCCAGCAGGCTCCCCAGCAGCCGGCATCCCCGCCGGTTCAGGGCGCGGCCGGTGCCGTTGATCTGTCAGACCCGTTTTATAACGCGTATTTTGAAACGGATCTGACGAACCAGATTCAGCAGGAACAACAGCAGGCGGCGCAGCAGCCGCAGGCTCCCCAGCAGAATTGGCAGCCGCCGAACACCGCTGCGGCTCCCCAGCAGCCGTATTACCCGCCACGCGCACCGGCAGCCCCCGACAACACTGCTGCCCTCGTTCGTTCGGAAATCCAGCGTGCGTTGGCGGCTACGGCGCAGCAGTCCCAGCAGGCTCGCCCGCAGGCGGAAGCGCCGGCTCCTGTTTTCCGGCCGGAAGACATTACGCTGACACCGCAGGAAGAACAGTCGATCGGCGGCGCGGCTGGACGGGCGCTTCTGGCGAAAGTGGCTCGCCAGGCCATCGCAGAGTACGATACGAGCCGCATCACGCCGGAGATGCGTAATCTGCGCCAGCAGACCGAGACACAGGCGCAGGCGGAACGGGCGGCCCGCGAGGCTACCACGGCGCAGCTTATGACGGTTCGCGTTCCCGACGCCCAGACGCTGATGAACAATCCGGCGTATAATTCGTTTGCGTCCGAGATGGTTTACGATGCGGCCGCACCGTTCCCCGTCCCGCGGGGGGAAGTTCTTGCTCGCGCTTTTGGGAGTGGAAATGTGGAATACGTTGCCCAGCAGCTTGAAGAGTTCCGGCGCCGCGTGACCCCACAACAGCCACCGGCTCCTCAGCAGTTTCAGCAGCCGGGGCAGCAGCAGTTCCAGCAGCCGGCGCAGCCGCAGCCTTACGGCCAGCAGAACTGGCAGCAGCCGCAAACCCAGCAGCAGCCGTTCCCGCAGCAGGGGCAGCCGGTCGGCGTTTCTTACGGCCAACAGAACCAGTTTCCGACCGTTCCGGGCGCACCAAGCGGTTCGCCGGGGCAGTCAGTTCCGCCATCGATGGCGGCCCTTATGGGCGGTCGTCGGTTTAACCAGGCCGCTGCCGAAAAGGCGCTTGGTGATTTCGCTGCCCGTATGCGGGCAGACCCACGCGACATGGACGCTCGCGTAGGCTACGAAAAGACTTATACTCTATTGCGTGCTGCCCAGAGCGGTCGCCGCTAACGTAAAGCAGGAGTTACCCGCAAATGAATTACGGCGCCCCCGGTGGATACCCCGGCCAGACTGTCGTCCCCGCCTCATCGGGATATGGTGTATTCGAGGCTCTGAAGGACCCGATCTTCGTCACCGACCTTGTGACGCGGTATTACGCGCGCACGCTCGGCGGCCTGATCTGTTCTCAGGATATTGTCCCCTCGATCATTTCGCGGGTGGGCTCCACGGTTGTTTTCCGCCGTCCGCCCCGCGCTACGGTCTTCGATTACACAAAGAATCAGGATCTTGAGAGCGACGGCCTGAACACGGTCCCGATGGAAATGACCATCGACCGCGGCAAGTATTTTAACCTGAAGCTGGATGACGTGGATCATCTGCAGATTCAGGACGTCGATAATTATATCGACATGTATAAATACGACGCCCTCGAACAGATCGCGCAGCGCACGGACGTGGAACTGTTCTTCACGCTCGAAACGCAGGCGCATCCGGCCAATAAGGGGTCCTGTGCTGGCGCCACCTCGGGCGCGTATGACATGGGTTCCCTCGGCGCTCCCGTCGTGTTGGATAAATTCTCCGTCCTCGACTACATCAACAACGCATCCGCGGTTCTGTCCGAAGGCAATGTTGATTTCGCGGATCGGTTTATCGTGCTGCCGACGCAGGCGCTTCCGGTTCTCGCTGGTTCGCAGGTTCTCGGCCAGGCATACGCTTCCGGGCTTCCGCGGTCACTGCAGCTTATCGGTCTTGAGGCTTATGACGGCCCGATCGGCGGCTTCCGCAATATCTACTTCTCCAATCTGCTGCCGCGTCGTTGGGACCCGGTTGCCGGCGTGTGGACGTATGCGATGCCATTCGGTCGTCGGGATGCGACCGGCTTCATCACACAGATGGCGAAGAACGAGGTTGTCCCGGTCGACAGCCGTAGTTTCCACTCGTTCTGGCGCGGCCTCTTCATTTACGGAATGAAGGTTCTCCGTCCGGAAGCGGTGGGTATTATGTATGGCACGTTCAAAGTCACGAACGGCGCCAAAATCATCGCGCCCCCCACCAACGGCTAATTCCGCAGAGGGTAAGAAACTACCATGACGCAGTATAACGTATTCCTCGGTGGCAATCTGGCTCACTGGCCGCTGGAATCCACACTTAACACCGGTGTCGAAGGCCCATTTGTTCCGCTGAAATACGCGGTTCATCTGCCTCGCCGCTTTTACATGCTCCCGTTCTATTTCGACGGCGGCGATGAGCAGTGGCAGAACTTCATGTTCCGCACGACTGCCAACGGTGCAGGCTTTGCAGTCGGTGATATTCTGACGGTCCATGAGGCGGGCGAGGATCATGTTTTCGCCGGAATGAACCTCATCCTGAAGAAAGACCTCCCCTCGGGCATTGGTCTGACCATGACAGCCCAGAGCAAGGTCACGACGGATGACGGCGACACATACCAGAGCCGCACAATTACCGTCCCGCCGGGATCGAAAGCTGGTTCGGCCTACTGCCCGCCTGATTCCGACGATGGTGATTACTCCACGGCTGGCGTGTGGGTGACCATTGAAATTACCGGCGCCGCAGGGCTGGACGTCGGCACTGTTCTGGATATGACGGACGTCTGTTTCGCCACCCGTTACGCTGTCCAGGACTTCCACGATGAGCGTGGTTGTTCTTGCCGTCTGATCCACTGCGACGCGACCTACCCGCCGGTCGGTTGCCTGCCGGATATCACGGCGAACGTCAGTCAGTTCCGTCCGAAAGGCGTATCGGAAGCCCCGACGACTTCCGGCGGTTCCACGGGCAGCAGCACTTCGTCCGGTAGCAGCACCACCTCCGGATCGTCTTCGACGTCTGGCGGCACGGTGACGTCCGGTGGTTCCACCTCGGGCACTTCAACGTCTGGTTCCGCTACGTCTTCCGGGACAGCGGCTACGACCAGCGGCACGGTGACTTCCGGCGGTTCCACCACCGGTTGATTAACGGGGCTTCGGCCCCACCCCTCTTGGGAGAATAAGCGATGAAGACTTCACAGCACCGCACGGAAGTGCGGGAATACGATAAGGCTTTGGTTCCTGCGCCGCGTTACGGCATCATTGGATACACGGACCTTGGCGGCGCGCCATATCCGTGGGACCCGGAAGCGCCGTTTGACGTTAAAAACATGGAAAACGTGCGCGTCTATACCCGGAAAGAACAACCGGAATTTATCGCCGTTATCCGGGAATACAGAGCAAACGCACGGGCGAATACGTTGGCCCCTGCGCGTTGGGATCTGGCTCCTCCGCAGGAGGAACTACCGCAGGGCAACGTGCCAGACGTCGGCACCGCCGGACCGGTCCCACTGGCGGAGACCGGAACAGGTCGTGTTGCGCCTCCTATGCCTCCGCCGCAGCCGGCCAAGGCCGCCAGTAAAGGCCGGTAATGAAGGCCAGTCCGCTCATAACGGCCTGTTCCAGACTGATGGAGGACCAGCGGAAAGGCCATGAGTTTTCCCGTTGGTCTGAACTGTATTGGTTCGAGGCATATTCATGGGCTGTCCAGCAGGTATCCGCGTGGCGCCCCTCGATCTTCTCCCGGTCGATAAAACTGACGCTTCAGCCGGGCAGCCTTCAGACGCTGCCGTCCTGTTGTAACCGGGTGTCGGATACGACGGAGAACGCAATTCCGGTATCCCGCCGGGCGATGCGTATTGTGGACCCGGAGCGGGCATGTCCCCCACCGGCCGGCCGTCCGTATCGGGTGCGGGGAGTACATACGATGGCTCGGACAGTCCGAATAATATCTATGTGTATCCCCCGGTGCCGGCTGGCGACACCAGCCAGACATTCACTGTTCTGTGCGAGTATTCCCCGAGACCCACCAGTATGGGCGATGATCTGCCGGTCACCGAGAGTATCGATAGTATTGTCCAGAGCCTGATGTTATTTTATGTCTGCAATGGGGAAAACGAGAGCCCGACGCTACGAGAGACGGCCCGCGCGCACTATCAGGCCGCAAAAGACGCTATTGGCCTGACCATATCGGCGGATCTCCAAAACGAGCGGGACGCGCAACAGGACCGCCAAGATGTCAACCGCTGACCAAAAAGTCCCGCTCGAAGAATTTCATACCTTCGTGCGTCCGCTGGTGGGCGACGTCCCCTCGCTCATTCTGGATCATGCCTTGCAGGAGGGCATCATCCGGTTCTGCAATGAGAGCCGGGTGCTGGTGGACCACACCACGATCCAGTTCCAGCACGGCGTTCGGGACTATATGCTGGATATCCCCTCCGACCAGTATCTGATTGCCCCGGATTTTTCCCGCGGCCGACAGTACTGCCGGAACCCGGCCGATTACTTTTTCGGGGATATTTTCGGACCCGGCCGCAGTGACTTTATCCTACGGGATGGCCCGGAGCCGGTCATAGAGTTCTCATACGCCCCTACCGGCGCCTGCGAAGTGCCGCGCACGATAGATTATTCGTGGCAGCCGCAGCGTAATTTCTGCATGGTCCCCTCCGAATTATATAACCAGTGGATGGAGGGGGTGAAGTATTGCGCCCTGGCCGAGATTTTCGATATGCCGAAAGAGGATTGGTCATCCCAGCCCCGGGCTATCCGTTATCGGGCGCTTGCTGAAGCAGAGATAGGTAAAGCCCGCGACCGGAAGCTGTCCAACTATACACACGGCGTCCTGCGTATGCGCGCTCGCCCCTTCGTCCGGGGGCGCAGAGCGTTCGGCGGCCTTACCTACGGAGCGGGGTATAACTGGTGAGAGCTTTCGGAAAACTTCAGCCACCACCTGCGGGGCTGTGTAATGACCCGATGATAACCGTCCCGGTCGTAGTGCCGTTCGGGTGTGGTCGGTGTTACGACGCGTGTGAATCAGGGATACCGCTGCACCACGCTCGCACTCACGCCCGCGATACGATCCGTGTCCCGCGACAGACGGCCGCATCGGTAATCAAGCTGGATGATGGCTCCGGCGAAGGATATCGTTTCCCGATGCCCGCAGAGTGTCTGTCCCTGCATCTGCGCCGGAAGGGGCAGTCCTGTTTCTGCCTGCGGATCGAGCCTATTTTCGCTCGATATGACGGGGCATTGGAGATCCGCTGGCCCCCGGAATGGCACCGGTTGAAGGATGGCTATTATGAAGGCCAGATTTCACAGGACCGGGGCTGCGAACAACCATGGTTCGGAGGCTGGCTCCTGTTCCGAAAGGAAGGTGCCCCTCGCACGCGGGTAACCGCTACGCAATCGATAGAGCGGAGACCTCCGGAGCATGTCGGCGCGTGTATGCCGCATGATATATCTGGTGTAACCCCAACACTATCGACAGATTGTGACGATGGTTGTGGAGGGTGTGATGATTGATTTCTCGAAGGTCGGCCGACGATCGAAGCTGTTGGACGCCATATCGCCAACTGATACCGTTTTGCAACTGGTCACGGATGGCGCGGCTCGCCTCGGACCTGCGGAAAACATGCAGGTTTACCTTACGCTGACCGCAGGACCGCAGACCGAAATCGTGCTGGTAACCTCCGCGTATGGTAATTCTCTCATCGCGGTGCGCGCTCAGGACGGCACCGTAGCGCAGAATTTCCCCGCCGGGACGTGTCTGGAAACGGCGTGGAACAAAGCGCAGATGGCGGCGTTCGTGCAGTCACTGGTTGCCCCCGACCAGGTGGGGGGCTTTACGGGAACCGCTACCCCGGGTTCAGTACTGTCGATTACGAATGGTATCGTCACTTGCGTGCGGCAGGGCGGCGCCGGCTGCGGGGAGTGCGTCTGATGTTTGTTGGATTAGACGGGTTTCATTCCCATATAGTCGGCCCGGTAAAAGCAACAGACGACTTCATCATCCTGCCCGCAACCCAGATAGGCCGCCTTACTGCGATCGCCAGCGGGGACTACACGTATCTGTTGTTGCAGGATTCCGTCGTTACGGAAGTCGTCAAATACGTCGGCGGCACGACGCTGACCCCCTCGCGCTTCGGCCGCTATACTGTTCCGGTGCAGCGTGGGTTGAACGGCACCCGG